TCAAGTTCGTGCCGTTAACACATGCGTTAGTGCTCTCGATTTAGCATGTTCGGTAAAACCAGTTCTGAGAACCGCTATCGAGATAACCTAAGCGTAAATATGAATAAGTAGAACTTAAACGTGCCCCTCAACTGGAAGAGAAGCTATGCGGTTGTAGAGCGGAAACTTCTAGTTTGTGCTGCAGCAAACCGTTCCAAAATTAAGTTTGAGGTCATTTAATCTCTCTGAAAGCAGGCAGTAGCGCTTAGTAGATGCACTGATAGAACTTTTGAAGCAGACTATGAAACTCCAAAAGTTTTGCGAAGCTCGAAAAAAATGCTGAAATTTAGTGATTATCGCTGATTATCAATTACTGATTATCAGTGATTTCTTATGAAATGCAGTTTTCATTGTGAAAATTCAATGATATCACTTATTAGAACATTTTTATGCGCATTCCAAGTTTAGGAATGAAAAGCTTTGAAACATAATGCCTTAATCTTCTGCACAACGACACTTTGTTAATGGAATTATACGCTAATAATCAGTTTTCTGATAATGCAAATTAGTTTGTCGTCCAGCGATCCTAGATGCATTTGTTATGGTTGAATGCTGCATCGCCATCACCAAATATGATATATTAGCCTATATAAAATCTGTAGCTTTCTGTTAGAGTCAATGCAAATGTTGTTGACCACTCATGATAAAACATCATTTTTGACTGTAGCAAAAACGTTCATAATGTCATTAATTATTGCAAAAGGCCAACTGTCTTAGCATTATTGAACTATGGAAAAGCGTAGCCTCAAAGTTTTGTGGCAGCTACAAAGGTAGGTTCACAATTCCGCATCGGTAACCATAGTGTTTCAATTTCTGAATCGAACTTAATCGGCGATGTACCCCAACATATTACTGCTCGGTAGTATTGACGTTTCTGTAAAGTTTCGGATTCAGGACGACATATTTGAATTGGACTGAACAAGGACACTTCCAAACCAACCAAATCTGCCACTACCCGTAGGTAAATACATAGACAAAACGTAACCTCGATGTTCCACGATAGCTGTCAAATAGCAACTTTCTACTTCCATCGGTAATCATAACGTTTCCATACTGTGCGTAAATGCACCGCCCCCTTGCTTGTGGTCTTGCATTTCTGAACTAATGAGATGCCTTTATGGCTTTCGTCGCGGCTGAGAGAATGCACCATTGTTTTCAGCACCATTATATGCTATCTACGTTGCATGAATTTTACCGACCGGACAGATCCAGTTGTGAAAAGCAAAGACGACCATATTGTGGAGTAGTATATTAAACACAAAGGCGAGATATATTTTGTATAGCCTCAAGTTATGGTGACCAGTCTGTAAAAGGTCACTAAGCGGTCCTTCATCGCAGCACTATTAATCGGGACGACATATATCTGTCTAAGGTTAGATGTTTTGACTGTAAACCGAAAACAGGTGTCAAAAACTACCGTCTAAGTTAGACCACGAAAGAACATGATGAATAATATTGTCATTCTTCGTCACGACGAATGTGCCAGTCAGTACCTGGATTATTATTGTTTTCCACGACGTATTCAAGTGGCTGCAAAAGGCCTGATAAAAAATGAATCAGCCTGAATTTTGGTGCAGAACCAAATAATATTTCAGACGCTTTCTAGTTTTGCTTTCTGCTGAAATGCAACGATTCATTTCTTAGTTCTAATGGCGATTGGATACAAAATGGGATAGATTCTGAATATGTTTTATGAAAATCGCCATTGAAATTTTAGAGGAAAGAAAGTTTGATACTCTCTGCTCGCTGATTGCTACAGTGTTCATTTTCTGAAATAAGTACGCATAATTGCCTATTTGTACCGTTTCTAACCAACCATTTCGTTCAAATTCAAGATATTTTTCGAAAAGTGTGAGTCGCAAAGTTTAACGCGGCAAAGCCTCTCTATTATTACGTCTCGTTCCATGCAATGACAAAATTATTAACCCGAGTTCGATTCCTGTGTGAGACATCAGTATTCGTTGCTGTGACAAATTTAATTTCTAAAAGACCGGATTTTGATAACGTTTTAATCATTCACTGGCTATTTGAACCCTAATTTTATGCTATCTTAAACGTATAACTGATGTATGTATGAAAGGTTCACAGCTGAGTCCGACATGGCGGGCATGTGTGTGAATGTGTATAAAACGAATAACCCAATGCTTTCTTTTTTTCCGGCGCGCTGCGCTCTGCAGATAAACGGATATGCGGTGAAACAGGCGAAGGAGCTCACGTACGTCGAGGTTGCGTTTACTGGTGATAGAAATTGGGTGGAAGAAATCGACTGACAAACTGAAATGACTAACGGTTTTCTTCGTGAATTAGCCGAAACCGTTGTAGTCAAAGCAGAGCTGAGTCTAAGGACTACGCTGTCTGCGTTCAAGTCGGTCATCACCCCCTCCCACCATGCTCACGTACGGGCATGAGTCGCGGGCCATGACTGAAAAATTTCGATTTTGAGTGCGAGTTGCTGAAACGGACTTTCTGAGACGCATCGCTTGGCTCGCGTGTCTTGACATGGTCTGGAGCATGAAAATCCGCGAGAGCCTTAGTCTACGGTCGCTGCTGCTTCAGACTGAGAAGTCACAACTGCGAATGCTTTCAGAAAGGAAGAAGAAACTGCTGCTATTTGCTCTTGGGGACATGTAAGGGACATCCAAGAATAACTCGGGATAAATGCATCGAAGGACTCTGTTCCATAGTCCAGTTATCTTCTGCTGAAGCTCCAGTGCGAGTGCAGGACTGAGAACGTTGGAAACGCTGTCTGACAAGTCTGCCTCCGCGACCCGTAAGAATAAGTGATCATAGAAATTGACTGACCAATAGAATACGCGGACTTTCAGAGACTCGGTCCGTTCTTTTGCCGACGTTGCAATTTACCTCTTCATGTTCTTGATCCCATGCATTCATGTTGTCAAAATTTATATAACTTTTAATATTATATTGTTTTGCAGAGGAATCCGTTGCTTCATGGTGTCGATGTCCACTCGATTTAGAAATCAACGCTTTCATTTTCAAAGGCTTTTGTTATAAAGACAAATATAAGCCTCTTCGTCAGCAACAGGTTTTAATGTTTTCATTAAGCTTCTTTATAATCCATATTATCACTGTTTCAATTGTTGCTACACGTCGGGCGACAGCGACCGAATATGCCATGCTCAGAGTTAGGCCTTGTGAAATGGTTCACGTCGTTGCTGCTGTGCGCCGTATCGATGAAAAACTCCTGTATTATGTCAAACTATAATCCTTGCTTTGGAATACGTAATGGCCTGTGATAAACGAGGCGGGTATGCTTCGATAGTGAAATTTATGGAAAGCCGACGATCTGTCTTTCTAATAAGAGATGACAAATGTCAACGATTACATGTGTATATGGACATGTGAATACATATATGAAAGAGTTTCTATCTGTGCAAATATCAATAGTTGGCAGGTCACTGGCTGTGCTGATTTCTTACCTGAAATGAGTTGTGCTAGCAAAACCATTGTTTTGTTCTACCTATCTGATTCGTACCAACGACTACTTCTACCTATCTGGACGCTTCAATTTAGCTGCTGATCGGATAGCGAATGAATTGGTAAAGAAATAGGCAACGTAAACAGTAAGTGGTCATCGAAAGTGGTAAACAGCAGTTTTGAGTGAAAATGATGCAAAGTCGGCGCCACAACGTACGCAGCGCCACTTTAAGCCATAGCACGCAAATTTGTTTCTCACGTTCAGTCATTTTCAGCTACAGTTTTGTTTGTCTGTAGCTTGCGTAATTTTCGTGGCAAAATGTGACGATTGCACTCGAAACACGTAGTGTTAGTGCACCGTGTATCTTCTGTACCTCCAGATCCGGTTTCTTTCCTTCGGTGCACGATTACAACGTCAAATATTGACTTAAGGGGTTTCGCGGTGTGTTTTTCCTGCGCTTGCCGCCGTTTGCTTCTTTGTTGGCTTTGCTGACTTCGACGTTCGTTTCGCACTCCTACGAACTGGCTTTCGGGGCTGGCTAATGCGCAGTTGCCCACTGGAGGCGAGGCGAAATAAATAGCCAGTTCACCGGTAAATCACGACGTCCAGTCTGACAATTTCATGCATTAACCAACGACCAATCGCATTCCGATACTTTACTTCAGTCGTCTTTCACAGCACTTCTGTCCAGTAGATTGATTGATAGTCGGCTTTCGTTCGGTTTTTGCCTCACTAATGTCGTCTGTCGTGAGGAAGCTGCTGCTTGCATGTTTCCGTGCGACCGTTGACCGTCAGTCCTGAAAGCAGAATTTCAAGCATTCAGCGTCGAAAGTGACTCTCAAAAAAGTCTCAGCGTTTGCGTCTAATTCCAAGGAATGTTACGGGTAAAAGCGCACGGATAAATGACCATTGATTCAATGCTGGGGTACAGACTGGTTGGGAGGTTACGATGATTCTCACAGTCAACAACGAGCGAAAGTCGCAACAACTCATGTTGCTTGGTGATTAAATACTTATTTTTCTTTCATACGGCATAGCAACTGTGAGTGATTGAACAACTTTTTTATTGTAAGAATATTCAGAACATAACCATATCTATCAGTACGAAAACAATTTAATTTTTTGACTGCCTTCCCCTTGTCAGTTGGTACTGGATCCGAGTTGTTTCCAATAGAACGCATACCTTGTACTCCTGTGAGTATTTTGGAAAACTAGAGCATCGCAATCGCACCAGCAGGGGGACAACAGCGGAATTTAAAAAGAGCGAAGTCGTGCAGATGAATATATCTTCTTCACCTTCCGTGGCTACTTCACTTTTCGAGTCGTGGAGGCAAACGCGTCAGACAATGCTTCCAACGTTCTCGATGCTTTGCCAGAGTCTAGCTTCTGCAGGAAACAACTGGAGTCTGGAACAGACTCCTTCCATTGTTTGCACCAGATTAATCATGACCTTCCCCTGGGCCTTCTGCCAGTCACTTCGTTAAGAAACAGCTGCTTACCTTTCTGGAGGCATTCGCAACACATGCCGAAACCATCGCAGCTCTGGCTTCTCAATCTGAAGAAGCAGAAGCTGTACACCAAGGCTCTCGTGGTTGCCAGTATAACGGACCATGTCGAGGCGCATAAGCCCAGCGACTCGTCCAAGAAAGCCTATTTCAGCAGCTTGTACCCGGATTCGAAGATTTTCAGTGATGGTCCACGATTCATGACCGTAGGTAAATAAAGGGATAAAGCTCGACTTGAATATTGAGAGCTTAGTTTTCAGACTCAGCTCTGCCTTAGTCACAATGGGTCGGGCTAGTTCACGCAGAACGGCGCAGGCTACACCAATTCGCCGG